AAAGATATATAGCCCATTTCTTGATTTATACGTGTCAGCCTTGCGCAGGGGCCATGCTAATCTTCGCGCGGTTGTTTTTCAGCTGCGTGGACAGATAGAGAAAGAGAGGGGGGGGGGGGGATCAATTCCTTCAGTAACGATGCATTCTGCTGTGTGTGTGTGTGTGTGTTGTCGTGTTCGGTTTGCAACTCCACAAAAAAAGCCTAACTGTGCCAGACTGTTTCGTCGGTCTTTCGCGGACTCATCAGGAGGTTGTGTGTGTGTGTGTGTGTGTGTGTGTGTGTGTGTGTGTGTGTGTGTGTGCGTGTGTTATGAAGAATCTCGGACCAGTGGCCTGTTCAATAGTCTCATGAAAGACATAAATCTGTGGATTGATGCCTATAAGAAGGTAACGCCTAATCCAGGCTCCCACGAAGGTGGCGAGAGGGGAAGTATTACAAAATACTAAAATGTGAAATGAAACGGAATGGGCTGTGTGTGTGTGTGTGTGTGTGTGTGTGTGTGTGTGTGTGTGTGTGTGTGTGTGTGTCTGTGTTATGAAGAATCTCGGACCAGTGGCCTGTTCAATAGTCTCATGAAAGACATAAATCTGTGGACAAAATACTAAAATGTACAATGAAACGGAATGGGCTGTGTGTGTGTGTGTGTGTGTGTGTGTGTGTGTGTGTGTGTGTGTGCGTGTGTGTGTGTGTGTGTTTGCGCGTGTGCCTACAGGTTCTTGAGCTCCGAAGTCAGTACCCGGATGTGTTGTTGATGGTGGAGGTCGGGTACAAGTATCGGTTCTTTGGGGAGGATGCGGAGACCGCGGCCCGAGTTTTGGGTATATACTCTCATGTGGATCATAATTTCGTAACGGCTAGCATCCCGACTTTCCGGCTGCATGTGCACGTGCGTCGGTTGGTGGAGGCAGGTTACAAAGTGGGTGTTGTACGCCAGACCGAGACAGCAGCAATCAAGGCTCATGGGGCGAACAAAGGTGGACCGTTCTCTCGTCAGCTCTCTGCCCTTTACACTCGTGCCACTCTGGAGGCTGCAGCAGACCTTGGCGGAGGCGGTGCTGCTGCTTGCGATGACAGAGAGGGGAAGGGTCGACTCTCTAGTTATCTCATGTGCGTAGTGGAGCGTGGCGATGGGTCGCTCCCAGAGGGCGGCAGTGGAGGAGGGCCGAGGAGTAAACGCAGGGAAGGGAGGGATGAAGCCGTGGGAGACGGGGGGTTCGCGGAGGAGGGCGAGCGCAAGCGGAGCTCGAGCGCAAGCAGGTGCACTGCGGAAGTGGCAGTGTTTGCGGTGGAGACTGCGACCGGGGATGTAATGTATGGACAGTTCAGTGATGGGGTCCTTCGAGAGAAGCTGGAGTCATGCTTGCTGACGTGCTCGCCGTCGGAGCTGCTGCTGGGAACACCGTTGTCATCTCCCACCGAGAAGGTAGGAACTTGCGCAACGCGTTCTCCTTCCCGTTTCCCTCCAAGAAACATTCTCTCTCTCTCCTGCTCGCTCGCGGAACGTGTTCTCTCTTCGGCTGTTGAAAGACTCTCCCTGCCTCCCACTCTCTCTCTCTCTCGGTCGGTCGGTCGCTCTCTTAGTTCCGTCTTCACAAAGGTGGTAAACGAGTTGCAGTTCTAGGTCGTTGACGCTCTCAAAGCCGTTCTCGCTCTTTCTCTCTCTCTCTCTCACTCACAGGCTCACGCACAAAGCCTGCTGTGCCTCTCATAAGTTCGTTTTTCTCTCTCGGGAGGTTATCCTGGTGGTCGGCGAGTTTTTTCTTTTTTTTTTACAAGAACCAGTGGTCGGGAGTTGCTTTTTTTTTTTTTTTTTTTTTTTTCGAGATCAAGGTCTGATTGGGGGCTGAACCCAAAGAAGGTCCGAGTACAATAATTTTCTAATTCTGAAGAGAGGTCCGCCCATAGGAAAGGGGAGAGGATCATTTCTTCCGAGACTGCAAGGTAGCCAATCTGAAGAGGGAGAGTTATTCCTAATTCTGTCCAATCTACTGGTATATCTAAGCGTAATGCCTGCTTAAACTGTGAGAGTAGGGAGGGCAGCGGGGTTTTTGTGGCAAGGAACCTGCTACCTCTCCTGGCTAACCGAAGTTGATTTACGAAATCCCAGAAGCCTCTGGCGATGACACATTCCCACCAGAGATGCGACAAAGCAGTAGGGACACAAGTAGGGAGACGAGATGGCTAACCAACGTCTTCTAGGTTAGGTTGAGGGCAGGTGTCACAGAGAACGAAGACATCCATACCTTTTTCTGAACACCACAAAGCAGTAGGGACACAAGTAGGGAGACAAGAATGCAGGTGTAGCCACTGTAGACCGCCTACCTTGGTTTCTATAGTAGAGAGGAGGATATGAATGACACATAGAAAAGCCATTTGGGAGATATAGGATGGAGTTTCAAAAAAGAGATCTTCTGCTGCCAGGTGAGGAACAGGCCAGCCTGTAGCCAACGAGGCTCTGAGTGGAACCTGTATCGTACTTGAGCAGAGTATTCCGAGAGGGGGACATTTTTCGAAGAACCATTGGTGTTGAACACTGTCTAGCCATATCTGCAGACGTCGACCTTCCAGTCCCTGAGTGGGGTAGCCTCCATAACCAACTTGATTAATTGATTGATTGATTGATCGATTGATTGATTGAACCAGTGGAAGAACCGTTCCAGGACTTCTGCGTAACTCTGATTTCGTCCATGCCAGCTATTGCGACACCCTCAGTGCTTCCTTGATGTACTCCAGGCGGGAGTCCTTCAGCCTCCATTCTGAGGCGATCACCGAGCCATCTTCACTCTGAAGAAGGAGACAGGCGAAGAAGTCGAGTTGAACCATTGCTGTTCCCTGTAGGTGGTGGCTCCTGGCCGAGAGAGGGTAGGACCCAGTTGGCCGGGATAGCTTGTGTAATAGCAGAGAGATGATCCTGTGTGCGCTGCAGGACCGTGAGGGCTGGTCTCAACTCACTTGCTGACCTCCATGTGCCGTCGTCTTCATTCCAAATGTGATCGGGAGTTTTTGCTCGCCTCTCAGGGCGTACTCACACTGGCTCTACCCTTAATGTATCGGACCGTATTTACGGCCGTACTTGCATGCATCTACCCGCAATCACGCGTGCAGAAGTCCCAGAACGAAGCTCTTGTGGCTGAATGGAAGACCCATCAACTGTTGATAAGCAGACGGAAGTTGGGTAAATAGTACACCCGTGAACTGTTGATACGCAGACCGAAGTTCGCATCCTCCTCCCTTTTTCGTAAAAAGGGCGACGGCCGTGAGCTGTCATCGTCGAACTGACCGGCCCTAGGTAATTCAGAATTATAGTATTTTGCTCGTCTGCTTCCACTGGAGTTCGAACTCAGGTCTGCATTTCAACAGCTCAGCTGAGGCGGGCCAGCTGGCACCTAAGCTCGAATCCGCACGGACTTGAGGCATACTCAAACTAGCAGTCTCCTTTATGTATCTGACCGTAACTACGGTCGGCCGTGGATGTATGTGACCGTAATTTCGTCCAGGAATAAGTGATAAAAGCCTACTGTGACCGTAATTTCGTCCAGGTCAGTTTGATGATGATACGACAAGGCAGTCGTCCTTTCTGATCAAGGAGAAAGAGGGCCTCGCTCCGCTCCTCACCACATTCAGAAAAGACAAAAAACTGTGAAAAAGGGCCTCGCTCCGCTCCTCACCACATTCAGAAAAGACAAAAAACTGTGAAAAAAAAGAAAACAAAGGAAAAAAAAAAACAGACAAAAAATGTGGTGGTGTAACTTTCCATATTCTAGCGGAAGCTTCATTCTCATCTTGGACATTTGGTGAGTAGTGGAGCGAGGCCACCGTAGTTGCACCGCTTGCCATCTGCAAAGATTTTGTGAATGCATCTTCACAAACCTCATGTACAAATGCATTCAATATTTCGAAGGGCCTGGTCACCAAATGCACAAAGGACAAAAAATATGCCTGTGTATTTCTCCATGTGCTTGCGGAAGATTCATTCTCATCTTGCACATTGGGTGAGTGGTGCGGTGAGGGCCAAAATCTTGGGAGATGGCGAGTGGTGCGCCTGTTGTCGGTTTTTTTATTTTTTTATTTTTTTCTCTCGTTTCGCTTAGGGCAGCGGCCTTGAGGTATCGTCATTACCCCAAAAAGAAGAAAAACCATCATCATTGAGAATTTTTGTTTTTTCTTTATTGTTTGTTTTTTTTCTGTTCATCACCGTCCGATTTCGCATATAGACCTCGACGTTTGGCCTCGCTCCATCACTCACCACCTGCACAACAGGCGAAGAATATGGCGGTGTATCTTTCCATGTTCTAGCGGAAGATTCATTCTCGTTTTGCACATTCGGCGAGTTGTGGAGCGAGGCCCATTGCCCTCCAGTGGGTGGCAGGGAGAGAACCCGCTGGTCTTATGTTCGGGCTTAGGAAGGATGAACCTGATCGTGAAAGTGGTCAGGCTCGTGATTTCTTATTTAGGGCGTCGCCAAATTTGTAAAGAATATATTTGCCGCTCCAACGTGGAAAGAAACGCCGGCCGCCATAGTTTTTTTTTTTTTTTTTTTTCAAATATTTGGTGAGTGGTTCGGCGAGTTCCTCCGCATCCCTTCACCACCAGTGGGGCGGACGTAGAAAATCGTATGGGACAGGACCTCCTTTTTTTTTTTTTTTTTTTTTTTTTGGACAGGACCTATTGGGCCTCTCTCCACTGCCCACCACATGCACAAAAGACAAACCGTTGTAATCTTCCCGTGTTCTAGCCGAAGATTCATTCTCATTTTGCACATTTTGTGAGTAGTGGAGCGAGGCCCATTGTATGTCACCTCGCCAGTTTTCCTTCTTGCTTTCCTCTTCTTTTCCGAAAAAAATTGAACCATTTGTTGATTTATGTGTGTCATGCTAATCTTCTCTATGCCCCAAAAATAAAAAATCTTCTGTGTATCGTCCCTTGTTTTTGTTTTTTTGCGCTCTTTTTTTTTTTTTTAGTTGTCAGATCTCTCTTGGCCTTTACTATGATGTAACTTTTTTTTTTTGGAAAACATGTCATAGGGCCTCGCTGCACTACTCCCGAAATGTGCAAAACGAGAGTGAATCTTCCCGTAGAATATGGAAAGATACACCGCCATGACTTTTGTCTTTAGTGCATGTCGCGAGTAGTGCAGCGAGGCCCATATTATACAAGCCGGGAAACAGGCCCGGCGTCACTTACAAAAGTATGCGGTGCCACAGAGTGAGCGAGGCATCACCGGCCAGGCGTCCCTTACAAAAGTATGCGGTGCCACAGAGTGAGCGAGGCATACCGGCCAGGCTCAAAGAGGGGAGGGCCTTCTAGAATCCCAAAAAGAAAGGAGAAAGAGCACATTAGGCCCACACTTTTGTTTTCTTTCCTTGTTTATACTGTATGTTTCCAAGGACTTCTTTTTCCCTGTTCCTTTCCTTTTTTTTTGTTCTTAGAAATGATCTCACTTGTTGGCTTGATACTGGAGGCGGATAGGGCCTCGCCGCAGCACTCACCAAATGTCTGAACTGGATTGGTATGACGTAGCACTATCTTGCATGTATGTGACCGCATTTACAGCCGTACCCGTATGCATGTGGCGGCAATTCCGTCCAGAAATAAGTGAAAAAAAAACAGTTCCAGTGTGAGTATTCGGAGAACTGCCGGGTCAACTGAAAACCCAAATAGGAGTTGCGTATGTGAAAACCCAAATAGGAGTTGCGTATGTGTCGCGCTCCACTATGCTCACCACATGCACGAAAGGTAAGAGCTTAGGAGTTAAAAACAAAATGAAAGACAATAAAAGAAAGACAAAAACTATGCCGGTGTATCTTTCCACATTTTAGCAGAAGATTCATTCTCATTTTGGTAAAAACTTACGAGTTGAAAACAAAATGAAAGACAAAAACTATGCTGGTGTATCTTTCCACGGTCTAGCGGAAGATTCATTGTCATTTTGCAAATCTGGTTAGTAGCCGCGCTCCACTACACTCACCACATGCACAAAAGGTAGAAACTTACCAGTTGAAAACAAAAAAGAAAGACAAAAAAAGAAAGACAGAACCATGCCGGTATATCTTTCCACGTTCTTGCGGAAGATTCATTCTCATTTTGCAAATTTGGTGAGTAGGGGACACGACGGCAAGGATGGTCCTCACACCACTACTCACCATGTGCGGAAAAGACAAAATATGGCAGTGTATCTTCCCATGTTCAAGCGGAAGATTCATTCTCATTTTGCACATTTGGTGAGTAGTGGAGGGATGCCCAATGCTAGGAAATGGTATTTCTTTCTTTCTTTTTCCCTTTCTTTTTTTTTTTGGTTTCTTTTTTTGAATCTTTTTTTTTCTTTTTTACAACTCTGTCGTTTTTATTACGGGGTCCAGTGCCCAAGGCTATGGGTCTCCTCCACTGGCCTCCACATGCACAAATGACAAAAAATATGGCGCT